GGCTTTGAATCTGAAAATTGATTCGTTTTTCAAGAAGCTGAGGTTTCAGAAGTGTGAGATGGAATATGGAGTTTATGTACAACACTCTGATAACAATATGGTTCTGGTGTGTCTCTATGTTGATGATATTTTGCTAACAGGTAACTGCCCAGAAGATATAAAGAAGTTCAAAGAAATTCTGATGACTAGACCTGACATTTGTTATGCAGTTGGATTGGTTAGCATATTCATGAGTAATCCAAAGTGGTCTCATTTCCAAGCTGCTATCAGAATTCTGAGATATATCAAGGGAACTCTGAGATATGGAGTGTTATTTCCTTCTGAAAGAAAGGCAGAATCAGAATTATTAAGTTATTCTGATTCTGACTGGTGCGGAGACAGAGTGGACAGGAGAAGTACTTCTGAATATTTGTATAAATTTCAGGGAGGTCCCATTTCCTGGAGTTCCAAGAAACAGCATGTCGTGGCTCTGTCAACATGTGAAGCTGAGTATATCGTAGGTGTTGTAGCTGCTTATCAAGCAGTTTGACTTCTGAATCTCCTGCATGATCTGAAGGTTGAAGTTAAGGAACCTCTGAAGCTGATGATTGATAATAAGTCTGCAATTGATCTTGCCAAGAATCCAGTGCTACATGGAAGAAGCAAGAACATTGAGACGAAGTATCACTTTCTCAGAAGTCAAGTGCAGAAAGGAGTGTTAGAAATTCTGCACTGTAGCACTCAGAAATAGTTTGTAGATCTTCTGACAAAGGCAGTTAAAACAGATCAATTTCTTCTTTTGAGAGATGAAATTGGTGTTGTTAGTTTCTGATAGAATATCTAAATTAAGGGATGATATTGGAAATGTAATTTAGTTAATGTCTACAATTCCCAATGCTTATTCTTTAATATGGTTTTTTGGCATTTCCATTTTTAGTATAAATATGCTACCTAGGCTACCAATATTGCAACTCATTCATTCCCCTCTTGAATATACAATAGTAGTCCTCTTTGTTATCATTCATTGTTCATTCTTCTTCTCTCTTTCATTACTTTGCACCAACAGTGTGGAGAACAAATTTGTATAAACATAAATTGTGACATTTGCAAGTAGTCAAGAAGATCATGTGATATCTTATGAGCGCAATAAACAATGACATCTTATTTTCTAAGCCTAAACGTCATAGAGATGAGTTGTCTGGTTTTTATGACTTATATTGGTATAGAGACAAAATGAAAAGAAGAAGCACAAAGGAGTATATGTTCAAGTTATTCAATTCTTCAATTTGATGGTGGTGCTCTAAGAAACAAATTATAATAGTAATGTCATCTTATGAAGATGAGTATATCTAAGTCTACAATATAGCTTTTTAAAGAGTGTAACTACAACTTTTGTTGAATGAAATGGAAAAATGAAATTAATGATACAAAAAAAATCAACAATTAATCTTGCAAAGAATTTTATAATTCATGAAAAGATCAAGTAAAAATCAAGTAAATAAGGGGAAAATTATCTTAACATACTCCAAATATAAAAATTAGATAGCAGATGTTTTAAGCAAACCACTAAATATTGAAAAAATTTATTAAAAATATGCTTGATTTAATTAGTGTAGAGATTTTGCGTTGAAGTTCATGTTTAAAGCAAATTACTTCTTCATTTTCTATTTCTCTTCTATGTGTATGTATAGTTCTAACATATCTATATTTCATTTTGATAATTTCTAACATATATATTATAATTTTAAGTAGAAGTGCATATTCCATTTCGTGTCACAAATAAAATTAGAAAACATTAATACCCCATTTTATTTAAACTATATTCATTTTCATGCAAACCACATGTTGGTTAAAGTTGAATTTGATCATAATAACTGATTAAAAAAATTTACAATTATGTTTTACTATTGAGAATAGTAATACTAATAACTATTTTACATTTATTTTAAGTGAGATTTGAATCACATGCTTTAAATTACTGCTGAACAAACATCTTTTAAACAAAAAGTTTAATAACTATACATTTTCTGTATACAAACACTACATAAGCGGCCAATTATATCATATAATTGTGTCATGTCATATTAAAATTTCAGCATGAATAATCTATACAGGCACAGCTTTGGTCCTTGAAGCATCATTTCTCTAAAAAGGGCTATGAAAGTTAGGTATAGTCGATAATGGAGCTTGAGTTTTACTCCACATAGATTGCTTGAGATTCTATAAAAACTTCGGCACTCAAATCATGTCAACAGAAGTTGTCACCATTAAGTGAATGAATCAGGAAGCTACTCATTTTATTCAGAAAGATGTTCTACACTAAGGATGGAAATAGGTCAGATTCGTCTACAAGAATCTATGGTTTAGTTTACATAAAGTCAAGTCAGATTAGATTTATTTAATAAAAATGTCAAGTTTAGCCTTTTTAAAAGTATATTTAATTAAATAGGTCAGACTTAAACTATTTAAAAAGTCTATGAAGTCTTATAGGCTGACCTATATTTTCATATATATTAAAAATAAGCTAAATAAACTGACTTATACATGCATGTATATTAGAAAAAAGGCTAAATAGGTTGACCTATATATGCATATATATTAGAACAAATGCTAAATAGGTCGGTCTATATACATATATAGGCCAACTTATAAGGTTTCTTAAGTAATATGGATTAATTGAAAATCTTAATGAGAAACAGGCTTTTAGGTCAGGTCAGACTTTTAAAAAAGTCAGGTCAGACCAGAAAAAAAAACTTATAATAGGCCATAAATAAAACTCAAGTCTTTTAAATTTATCGTATGTCAAACTCAAACCTTCTGAAACCTAGTCTAACTTAGGCTATTTTCATCCCTACTCAGCTGTAATCTAACCTTAACAGTGTCACAAGCCATTAAACTCATCATTTAGCTTAAATAAGTCAATTCAAAATAGTCCCAAGTCAGGTCTTTCTTCAAAGAGGCATGTTTTATTTCCCCAATTTAAGACCTCAACCAAGTCTTGGTCCCTTTAACTTGTTATTTTTAATGGTTTGACTTCACTTGAAATCCTATTTAAAGTCCATTTTTATATTGATTGAGACCATCACATAGAAAATAAGTCTACATCTAATTAGGTTATATGCCTCATCCTATCCAAAATAAAGTTATAGGAACAGCCCCTAAATTTTTATGTAGGCCAACTTGTATACAAATTTAAAAATATTATCTAATAAAAATTCATTTAGCAAAATAGTCAAAACCAGTATGAAGATTATGAAGTGTAATCAGTCATATAATCATTCAACCTCAAATTACAAATATCAATCTAATGTCAAAACCGAAATAAATATTTACATGTGTTGATGAATGCATCATAATGTATATTTCTAAAACCTCTTAAATCAAATTGAACACAAAATTTTCCTACCTACACTTTTCTCAACTACTGCTATTTTTTTAGCTTCTTAGTTCTGTCAATTACTCAATTAAGTATAAAGTAAGACATGTATAAACGCAAGCAAATCCATTCCATTAGTCCAACAATAAAGTAATTAATCTTAGCACTGTCGAGAGCACACTCAACATACATCTCAATTCACGTTCGTGAAGTTAAAAAGAGTGTGCTGAGAAAAGACGCTCAGCTATGCAACAGGTAAATTATGAGTCCCAAGAAACCCACAGAAACATGCAATAAATACAAGCCAACCAAGGAAAACATTGGACAATATATAAATACGGGCTGTGCAAAAATACTTAGTTATTGATATCATTTCTAACAAATGAGTAACTCTAATGTTAAGTGTCTAATTGACCATGGAAAACAGAAATAAAACCAGATTGTGATTAAATCATATAGAGCCCATAATAGGTTAATTATCCGCAAGAGTTCAGTCGGCCATTTCAACCACCGCAAATATTTCATCAACGTTGCTGGAAATACTCTCACAACTCCACAATGCGCAAATCAATTAGAGCAACTAATCTCAACCCAAAAACCAGGCAAAATAGAAATTAAAATCTAATAGAAGAAAGCGTCTGTCGGAAACATAGATTCGATATTAAAAAATCGTACAACTTAACACTCATATCAAGCACAAGTTTAACACAAAATAACCAGATGCAGTATATCAGACGACATAAAAATCCTATCACAAATATCATCAAAATCTACAGAAATTAAATCATTACACTACAACTCAACCATGTTCAAAACATATCGTAAACAGACAGCAAATACTGGAATAAAACGTACACAAATTTCCATCACACTGCGTTGGGAAAAGAAAGACAAGTAGTTAAAAAATAGAGTAAGAACCAGATAATTTCTCATCATAGTTGGTGTCGGTGTGTCATCCTTGTTCTCATCATCATTGCATTGTTCAATTTTATGGAGGGAAGTAGAAATTTTGAGTACGAAGCAGTACACAAAGAGAGCTCTATTTCTCTTCTAGTAACCCTACTACTGCTGACTTATGTAAGATTTAACATCTCAATTTGCATTAACTTGTTCCATCAAATATTTCCTTCTTATTACCAGAAATCTGAACACATTCTAATTGTTATTCTACAGCAACCAAATTTAATATTGACACTACAAACACACTTCGAGCAAAATTTTCCACCTATGCTGTAACATGGCCAAAACCATGTGGCAAGGAAATGCAGATATTCTCGCCCTTCAGGGCCCTATCTCTTAAGTCTCAAGTCAGTATGGATGAAAGCAAGTAAAATATAATGAACATTTTGAGGCTGAAATCTAAATAATAGATGAAAAGGAAAAGAACCAAATTTTCACTATCATTAAATCAATTACACATATCTAGTCGGAAACAAAAAATCAGAGCTGGTATACAAACAACACACTTTCATGTAAAATATCAAGATGTAATGCTGAAAATTTGGACCGCACCAGCAAAATGGAAGGTCCCTTCTGCAACATTGAAGTATGTTTCTTGATACTAAGTACAGAATTTTGCAGCATAAACTTCATGGGAAGTTGCTAAGCATATTCTGACAAGAATCTAGCAAACTTCTTGATACGCCTACGTTTTTTTCTTGTCTTTCCCATTATTCTGGGGATTAAACTCATTGTTATCAAAATATTCTTCAAAATACTCTTCCTCACTATCCTCCTCGTGATCATCATAATACTCTTCATCCTCATCATCTGTGCCATTTTGAAGAAATGAATCATCATTTGGTTGCTGACCTCTTAAGCTTTCTTGAATTCGATCACATATGGCAGTTCCCTGACATATACCCATGCAGTGACAACCAACAGAGAAAAAATTTTAAAACTAAATATTAATTTTCTTGCATAATAAAAGTCACATAATATTTTTCTGCATAAATTAGCTCACCATCTTATGGCAACCTTCTTCAAACATTTCTAGAAATCCAGCAACCATACGGTCAGCATTTTCCACCCACTCATTCCTATGCATACCAGCATTCTTTGCAACAGTTTGGATCTAGATGAACAACAAAGATGTGTACATCCATCAAAATTTCAATCCACTGCAGGCAATTTTAAAATGTATGATACATAAATTATAGTTGCGAGTGAATGTTCACGGCCATGACTGCTGCACAAATATTTGATATCCTTAGATTTTGACAATCTACTTTCTCGACAAGAATCTCGGCGATTCACTGTTGTTTCATCCTCAAACCTTGGCTCCATCTATACTGCCATACAAAGTTAAAATTATGGCTACTGTATAGGTGGTACCCATGCATCCTACTCTCACCAAGATCTACATTTAGCGAAGTGAGTGTCTCCACTTCTGTAGTCATTGAGTATTTGGGTCATTTAACCAATCTTTTATTTACCCCATAAAATTGTACAACTTGTGGGTTGAGAACAAAAGAAGGATCATTTAAATAGTTGTTTAACAGATTCATACACAGCCATTGCAAGCAAAATACAAATGTAAGTTTGATGACAAGAAAAATGGCGAAGAACTTAAGAGTGGAAAAGAAGCAGAGTGCTAGTGTGCATCACTTTTAGTTTTCTAACGTAGCTAGAAAAACCATTTTATGAAACTTTCTTCACCTCACAACCACTTCCATTGCCCCATCCCCAAATGCATGCACGGTGCACCCTCCAGCTTAGTCAAATGATATAGCGTATAATAAATTATAAACCTTTTACACCAACCTTTTCTTGCTGTTCTTTTACTTTCTCTTGCAAAGTTTTCAGTCTCCTATTCACGCGCAATCGTTTTTCCTGTTCGTATTGAATACCAACACAATAGAACATGAGCTCCTCCTCAAATGGTAGACAAAATTAAGGGCAACATAAGAGTGAACAATTCATACCTTAACATAGCTCACACCGAGATCTTTTCTTGAGTACCCACGATCCAAGTTACGCAGCACATACTGGTTATAGTCTTTGACAATCCTCATTATTATATCTGATGTAGATATACCTTCAGTTCGTTGTGTTTCTTTAAATCTCCCAACTGCCTTAACCTGCATAGAAATCACACAGCCCATTATATATGTAGCAGAAAAAAGTCCCAAGGAAATTTAAAAAAAAGTTAAAGAAAAAAGATGATGAAAAATTACTCATTCTTACAAATTCATAAACATCATTTGCAGAACCACTGGTATCAGCATATCTGTCAATATTTCATTGACAACCCAAAGGCATTGGTTATATAATGCATTCAAATGCTTAAACAATGAGCCAATAACAATATAGGTCTATAAAAATAAAAATCATGATGATGAACTCAAACAGTACCAAAGAACTAAGAGTTAGAGAATTGCAATAGGAAATGGATCTTCTTATGTGAATTCTCATATGATTTTGTGATGTAAAATGGTGTCTATTGTTCTATCCAGAGACATTAAATATAAGCAGGATCTTCTCATATTGTATTAAAAAAATTCTTTTGCAGGTCAATATGATTAATGTCATATATAAATCTAGGATTTTAATATCCGGGGCTCTGATACCAGGATAAGAAATATGGTTGGATCTAACTCAATCCTACAAAATATGTTTGTAGGGTGAGAATTGTTCACTTATAAGCACATGTTCAGGCCATATATTATGCAATGTAAGATTTTTAACACACACCCTCACGCTCAGGACTGAAATATTTGGAGTGTGAAAATAAATGGTAGACAACCCAATAACGAAACTTGATAATAGGTGACCCACCAGAACTTAAACCAGACTCTTGATACCATGAAATGTTGTTGGGCTTGTCATCTCTAAAAAAACTGGCTTGTATGGGAAAGATTTTTCTCACTTATAAGCACATGTTCAAGTCATATATTGTCCGATAAGCACGTGTTCAAGTCATATATTGTCTGATATAACAACCAATCCAATGAAAATCTCCTATTTTACTACATCACTCAACTCTTGTTAGTGCCTACTAAATAACTTAAATCAAAACTATTTTTCAAATATAACTTTTACCTTTAATTTATTGAATATAACTCTAAATTATAACTCATATTAATTAAGTGAATAGAAACAAAGGTATAATTCTGAAATCAATAACTAAAACTAAATTAAACTATTTAAAAAGATAAATAAAAACAAAAATACAAACAAATATAAAAATAAAATAAACGAAAAGAAATCTTACGGAAGAGAATCATGAGCTACAAAATCAATATTGTTCTTATCAAGAAACTCCTGATTGATAACCCAAGGTGCATCCGGAATCACTTCATCCACCCATCTACTCACCATAAAAAAAAATTACACATCAATTTCCCTCTCTCCCCCTACAATTAACTTAGGGTTACAATAACAAAAAAAATGCAAACACAAAAACGCTATAATACCATACTTGCAGTGACGGAGCGATTCATAACGTTCATCTTCAGTCATAACGGTTTTGCCTTTATATTTATGTGTCACCGCATCGCTGCAGCATCCAACCAGAAGGTACGTGTTGGGAAACCTACAATTACATAACAAAATAAAGTTATCATCGTATTAATAACGAATTGATAAATGAAGTGGAGAAGAAAAAAAAAGGAGAGTACGATTTTTTGGCTTGTTCGAGGGAACGAGCGTGGCCGAAATGGAAGAGATCGTAGATGCCATCGGCGTAGACACGGACGGGGCGGTCTTCGGGCGGAGGAAGGTGGGGGATGGTGGAGGAGGAGGAGGATGTCATTTTCCGTCTCGATCGATGTTTTTGTTCTCTGTGCTTTCTCTTTTTTTTTTTTTAATTTACTAACGCTCACCTGCGATTCCGCGTTAATTCCGCTTTTTCTTTGTTTTTTTAAATTTTGCCGTACCTTTTATTTTTTTATTTTTCCGGTCTTAAATTAAATACAAGTTCCTTTCAAAAAAAGGGAGAGATACAAGTTGGCACCCGGGAAGTTACGTGGTATTCTATTCCTCCATTTGGCAGCGGGGCGTGTACTGTGCATGACGTGTGGATTCTGTTTTTTTTAATATTGTAGCGTTAAAAGATATCATGTGAAATTTTAATAGCAAAATAGATATAAGTAAACAAAGGCATGAAAAACTCGGAAATAAAAAAGCACAAGAAAATCTAAGCCGAAACCAAAAAAAAAGTAAAAATGACAAGTATGGAAAGCCAAAAATTTATTAAAACCAGTCCAACTTATTAACACCAATCCTTGATAGACATATATGGTTCGACCAAAAACTCATTAAATTAAGTTCAATTTATAATCGTGTTTTAAAATCTATTTTAGACATGTCGGTCATATCGGTTGGACTGAGAAACAGAGGATAAAGTGGTTCGACAAAAGTATAGGATTGTTTTTAGCCTGAGATTTTTGATTTAGAATGTTCAACAAGTGAGTGTGATACAGTAGGAGAACTGACTTGTTTGTTTTGCGTTTTGTTGCAATTGTTGCGGATAACAAGAGTCGTCACCGATTTTTTTTTATCCAATAAAGGAAATGGTGAAAAGAACAAGAAAGACCTCTGAGATGTTTTCTTGAGTTCGGGGGTAGGTTATGAAAAGGGAATGTGTTAGCACCATTTTCATCCGTAATTATCTACGGGCTCTTAGTTGCTCGCTAGATCAATTTTGAAATTGTTTGAAATGTGTTTTGTGGTGTGAGTTTGAAAATATTTTTAAAACGCCTTTGTTGCGGCAAACTTTATAATGATTCTCGTCTCTATAAGAATTTATACAAAGTGTTGATTTTGAAAATAGTTCAAAGAGATGTTTGTTTTTGAAGATGTTTTGAAAGTGTAAGTGTGGAAATGGTTTTAGTTTGTGAACAAGCAACTACGAGCGTCCTACCTACTCAAAAGGTCTATGTTCTTTTCCTTTTCCTTTAGATGTTGCTACCTTACCATTGATTGGTAAGAAACCCCATCATTAAATGTGAAGGGACGGACGTGGGTCAATTGTATAGTTATAGAAGGCAACTTATGAGACGTTTTAACAATTTTCGTAAGGGACTAAATCGTTTACCTGTTTCCAGTGATTTCTGGTAAGCAACCGCTAGTCTTCCAAACTATCGAATAAACTTACTGACTGTTATTCAATTTCTCTGGTAACTTGCAGGATCGACTAGATTGATCCTAGGATTCATTGGTCATTAGGGTAACTCTCATGATCGAACAGATATTCATGGTTGGTATTTGAGTGTTGTGTAGGTGTTTGACTTATTTCGATTTCTCTCTTAAAGATCTAAAGGTGTAATCAAAATATATGTGCGCGAAACTAACTTGCATGAATAAATGTTAATTGTAAAGACATGTAAAATTGCATAAAAAGCAAGTAAATGGCTTCGAATTATAAAAACAGTTAACGTAAAAGATGCTCTGGAATGTAAAAGATTCGAAATATGAAGAAAGCGTTTAATGCAAGAAATCTGTAAAATGACTTTAAGTAAAAATAGGCGTTCGAAGGATAAAACTTGAAGATAAAGGCATGAAAAGTATGACAGTTTTCTGAAATGTAAAGTGTTTGAAATGTAAAGAAAGCATTAAAATGTAAGGCTTCAATGAAAAGATTTCGAATAAAAAGACTTTAAATGAGAAAACTTGTAAATGGTATTTGGCAGGAAGATAAAGGAAAGTACTGGAAATGATAAAAGGTTTTCATTAAATCATAAACATGTGGTGTTATCATACGTACATTGCTCTTGCATTCGTTTCCCTAGCCATGTGGTAATTTGAATGTTTACTGAGTATTTAGTACAATAGATATGACACACGAAATCCTAATACTAAGACTTCTATTTATACTACTTCGACCATAACGGTCTTGCTATAAGATCATGCCACGTTCAGAACATGCAGAACAATGCCTCTCTCTTGTTTCCACGTGTCTCCAAATGCTCCAGCACATAAATTTCAAACTTCGAATGTCCCGCTTCCATTTGAATTTCAAATGTTTTGGTATTTCTCCACTTCGAACGCACTTCTCAGACACAGCCTTGTTGTCATTTCGAGACTTCTTTAGATATGTTCCCATAATTGCCACTCCAAGCTCCAAGCTTTGATATGCTTATTCGAAACACTGCTTCTGCTACTTCGAAACATGACGCTTTGTTTCATTTCGATCGAAACATTCAACTTACTTGGCTTCTAATAATATTATCAAAATCTTCAGCCAACAAAATTCCCCTTTAAAATATGTATTTCGATCTCTCTGAGAAATACCTATTTTAAACATCTACACAAGATTTTGATGCGACCTTCGAATCATCGTAACATTTAATGAATTTGACTCCAGTCACGTCAATCATAGAACTTTTTAGATTCCTTAACCGTCTGGAGCCACTTCACAGTATGGTGCAGTTACAAACAATGATTATCTTTAATCACGCCTATTTCCCATGTTAACTTTACGCCACCTCTTCATCAAACCAACCCATGATTTCCACGTATCACACCCTTATTCAGTGGATGCTTAAACTTCCACATTATAAAACATCATCAACTTAGTCTCTTTCTTTTCTTTCTACATTCTGAATCTTTTATCCTTCTTCTCTCGCCAAAAACCCTAAGCTTTCAACATTCTTCAAAAATGTCTTCTTCTACTTCATCCCAACTCAAAAAGGTTTCCAAGAAGAAAGGAAAGATCGCAGGAACTTCAATGGAAAGTAAGGTTATTACTCACCAAGGTCAATCGTTCTTGCTCCTCAGATGATCTCAAAGGAAAAAGAAATGCTTTATGCATCACAGGTACTCATTCCTACCACCGTTGCTGGTAAGAGGTTAGCTTTAATGGGCCCTCTTACGGTTTTTGAAATTCTAAAAGATACCAGGACAATTTTCCCAGTTTGCTATAGTTTCAAACCCTTGTTTAACAAAATGGACGCCCCTAAGGCAATAGAATCTTCTGGCTCAAACACCATAGAAAATCCAACTGTTCCTCCTAAGGACCCTTTTGTATTAGACTATGTAAAAAGTAATTTTAAACCGTTTCGATCTTGCCCCACCTCCGATACTGCTTATCAAAACTGGTTCAAGAAGGTAGAAGCTAATAAATCCCAGCAATGGGAAGAATTAGGTATCTACAACCTGATTAAGCTGTCGAAGCCTGGTTTCACTTACAGCCACCCTTTGTTATTCGCGTCCCTCTATTTCTGGGACAGTACCTATAATACTTTCCATCTCCCTGGTGGAATGATCACCCCTACCTTCTTCGACATAGCGGCCATCACTGGGCTATCACCAGTAGGAGAAACATATATCCCTGACAACAAAGAACATTCAAGTATAATCGACTTCGAAGTCAAACTAGCAAGTTTTTCCAAGTTTATCAGTCATTACCATGCTGAAGGAGACAGTGTGTCTGATGTAGAACACATTGCTTTCCTTACCCTATGGCTGTCAAGATACGTCTTCTGCAGTAGATCCCTACAGGTAGCCAATAGGTTTATTCCTCTAGCTAGGGATTTGCATGAAAATCGAAGAGTGTGCTTAAGTGAACTGCTCTTAGTTGACCTTTATGAAAGCCTAAGGTCAGCTGTTTCGAGCCTAAAATCTCATACCTCCAAAAATATCCTGTTGGCTGGCCCTTTTTGGTTACTTCAGCTATGGCTAAATGCCATGTTCGAACCCTCCTTGTCAACTGTCAACACCATTGATGAACAAGACCCTGAGATAACTGATAGAATAGTCGAAGGCACTAGGCTGCGAAGATTAACTCCAAATGACGATAAAGATGACTTCAAAGTCCTATTCTCGAAGTACATCATGATATTCTCCAAAAGGCATAAGTTCGAAGAGACCATGGCGCCTTTTGCTTCGAGGGCTCATGGACCTTCCTGGTTCACCATGGCTCTCTCAGAAGCTGTCAAGAGCAAGGAGATTCAGGATGTATGGAGAGCTTTTTTGATGCCTAGACTCATTTCTTCAAGAATAACTCCTGCCAAGAATCAGATTTTTCTTTTCGCTTACCAACCAAATTTTGTTTCGAGACAGTTTGGCTTATGCCAACTAATTCCTGAACCCTTATTTCAAACTGAGAGTGCCATTACCTCTGGGCGAACTTTCAAGGCACGGGAAGCCAAAATACAGCAAGAACAATACCAAGGCTTTGCCCAGTTTGAGCTAATAACCTTCGAACCTACCCATCTCACAGCTAAAGGGTTTCTGGAATGGTGGACCAAGTTTTATCAAACTTATATGTTCGATACACTTACAATTTAACAGAAACTAATTGATGCCTTCGATGTGCAGGTACCAGCTAAGAAAGGTATGTTCACTCATGCCAAAGAGATTAAAGCTTTTCAAAATTATTTTGAAACTACTTATGACCCCATGCGCTTGGAATCCACTGTGCATCAAGCGGCTGAGACCTTGAAGGAAAAATTCACAAAAAGTTTCTAAGTTAAAACTTCCTTCAGGGTTGTCACCTGAGGATATGTATAGGTTGGCATTCGAAATGCATCCACCTAAATTTCCCAGATTACCTACCTCAGAACTGGCTCTGGCTTGGTTTCCCCCATACCCTTGGTGGTTCACTTGCAAAGAGATGTTCAAACATCTTCAAAGGAAACCAAAGCCATCTGAGACTGTGACATAGGCTCGACACTGGCTTCATGATTTCCCAGGACACCTTCGATACGACCTTTCTGCCATGTCAATTAAATCTGATCAAGGCACAGGTGCGAATGCTTGGGAAAATCCCAAACGTTTTTTATTTTCCATATCTTTAACCTTTGCTTTAAT